TTTTGTTTTCCCGAGCAAAAAATAAATATCATACATTTTCCCCTGATTTACAGAAGAGAGCCACTAGTGTAACAATCGTGTCAGGCATATTTACAACAAAAATCAATTTATGACACGTTGAAAGACTAATTACTTTCACCCCAAATACTAATTAGTTGTAATTTTACATTTTTAAAACGTGCCTCTATCCTAGATTTTGCCCATTTGTCTGTAAGAAGTTTTGACTCATTTAAAACACAATAAAATGTAATATGCTCACTGGTTCTTTTACATATTTTAATATCTACACGTCAGAATAAGCATGTTGTTTGAATTTCTACATAAATATTGTGTTACACTGAATGACAACGTAACATTGTTTCAACCAGATTGTAACATTGTATCCTCCAAAAACGTATTTGAAACCTTCAAATTAGACACTTTACTTACATTTAATATGCTTTCTGTAGACATAAAATCACTTTTGTACATTTCTTTGTACAAAAACAAAGACCCGCTTGCACACTTTTTTTGCGTTTTATGCTCCAGAAAACCAGACATTTTAATCTTCCTATAATATTACACATAAATGTAAAAATAAAGTTTTATAACCCAAATGTATTACCTACAAATATGCTTGTTTGACTGTAAAATATGGCATCTTCTGATTCTCTCGTGAGGGCAGATATCATGTTGACTGACTTTCCCTGTTTTTCGTGTAGCTTCCAGGAGATGGTGATGTACTTCGGGCTCAAACCCAAGTCTGGAGAGAAGGAGGTTTCTCCAAGCTTCATCTTCATGCTGTGGTACGAGTTCTGCAATGATTTCAAGAGCACCTGGAACCGAGAGAATAAAAGCATCTCCAAAGAGAGGTGAGGACCATCTATCTCACAATGAAGTTTAGAGACTAAAGCCGTGTTTGGACCCGTTTAGAGCAATAGTTCAGCCGAAAATAACAATGTGCTGTAAATGCACTCCCCCTCAGATCATCAGAGATCAGGATGAGTTTGTGTCTTCATCAGCATTGCATCAGTGTCTCACTGCAAGTGAATGGGTGCCGTCAGAATGAGAGTCCAAACAGCTGATAAAAACATCACAATAATCCACAGTCCATCAGTTAACATCTGGAGAAGACAAATCTAGTCTTTGATGCTCTTCTTATTTTTAATTGCCCGCACAATTCGTTTGGCAGCGTCTCTGATTTCAGTGAAGCTTTTACGGATCAAACCTACAGCCAACATTCAGTTCTCACTTAGAAATGCACAAAAAATCCCTCTCATTAGTCTCTGCCGCTCTTGTTTTTCAGTCGAAATATCCAAACATTTACTTGATGTTTTGCAGAAATGGCACATTTTAGAGAAGATATCATCCATCAGTTGGGTTTATTTTCGTTTCTCCGTACTGTTTTCTCATTTTAAGCATAAATCTAACGAACCTTAGTGAAGTTTAAAAACAAAAACAGCTTGTATAACAGGAAAAGTTGACTCAGAATGTTCATCTGCGGTCAAATAAATGATGACAGAATGATATTTTTGCGCTCTTTCATTTTAGACTCAAAGAAGCTCAGCAGACCGTCCAGAAAATCACAGCTGAGAAGAAAGTGGAGACGAAGAAGACCAACGCAAACAGTCTGGTGAGAAAACACACAAGCACACAGCTTTATTACATTCACTAAACACGCTCTATAATGAGAATAATTCTATTGCATGCGTTCATGCGGATGATGCTTCGAATGAAGCCGGCAGTGAAATCCAGGGTTTTATTTATTTATTTATTTTAATACAATTTACCAAAACAAATAAACTGAAAGTATTAGGATTTTTAAATATTAAAACATTATGGTATGAAATTAATGCAAAATCATTTCTATGACCAATCAAATGAAAGTAAATGAGTGTTATTAATCACTGGTGATTTTTGACTGTTTTTGACCATTTTTAGCTACTTTTTTTTTAATATACTGTATATATTTTTTTACTACTTGTTTTCTTCATTTCTGCTCTTGCATTCACATTCACACACACACACACACACACACACACACCTACACACACACACACAATCATTTCTATGACCAATCAAATGAAAGTAAATGAGTGTTATTAATCACTGGTGATTTTTGACTGTTTTTGACCATTTTTAGCTACTTTTTTTTAATATACTGTATATATTTTTTTACTACTTGTTTTCTTCATTTCTGCTCTTGCATTCACACACACACACACACACACACACCTACACACACACACACACACCTACACACACAGACACACACACGCACGCACGCACGCACACACGCACACACACACCCACACACACCCACACACACCCACACACACCCACACACACCCACACACACCCACACACACCCACACACACCCACACACACCCACACACACCCACACACACCCACACACACCCACACACACCCACACACACCCACACACACCCACACACACCCACACACACCCACACACACCCACACACACCCACACACACCCACACACACCCACACACACCCACACACACCCACACACACCCACACACACCCACACACACCCACACACACCCACACACACCCACACACACCCACACACACCCACACACACCCACACACACCCACACACACCCACACACACACCTACACACACAGACACACACACGCACGCACGCACGCACACACACACACACACACACCTACACACACAGACACACACACCTGCACACACACACACACACACACACACACACACACACACACACTACAGATTTATTGAATTATCAGACAATAAGTT